TTCCCATAGGACTTTTGGAGAACTAGTTTCTACTAGAGATGCTTCTAAACAGACAAATAAACACAAAGCTTAAACTTCAACAAACAAACTAAACACCACCCACCTTCCGGCACCTATGTAATCAAGTCTGATCACTACTACTCAAGCATCAACCCAAACCACTACCTCAAGTTCTGTATGAAAAGCTGTAACCAGGCCAATTAGAATTTTACCTCACCGCACCTCTCGCTCTCATGCCTTAAGTTTAAACCTATCAGGTTTTCATCATGATTTCACATTAAGAGCTTAGATCAATGTTTGGCATTTGGTAGACAACAGCACAGTTTACTCAATTAAATGTTCTATGGACTCTAAGGGTTTGCAGGGTATTTTAGATTCAAGTAGCATTAACCAATTACAATTAAATTAAAACAAGACATCAAGTGTCACCTCAAAAACAATTTAAAAAAGTAGCCTGCAACATAAGTCAGAATCCAGAGGTCCCCTGTGACTTTAAGTCTCTTGGCCTGTTTGAGACCAGTTTATATTACAAGATTTTTTTCAGCCTTTTTCCTTCATTCAATATTGAGATTAGATAGTACCCAGATACTTAGGAGAGCTTACATAGGATTTCTCTGTAACCCTCACTTAATAATGCAACTACTTGCTTATTTGTGGTCTGTTCAGGAATATTTATTCCTTATACAATCTAACCGTCCCACCAACAAATACCTGAGTTATCTTTATGCTTATTGTGCAGACAAGGGAACTGAAAGACAATTGTCACCAGCACAATGATCGCTAGCTGAACGATTCCCTGCTCCCATCTCTATACCGCTGGTTCTCATTGCCAGAGGCAAACAGCATTTGCCCCATTTGAGACAGAGCTCACCAAAGAAATAGGTCTACCAGTATGAAGGAAATTTTATTTGTTATTTTTAATTCAATTGGACTGAATACAAAGCACAGATTTGTCAGAAAGCTGAAACCCACAGCAGCTACAGGACTCACTTGAAGACTAATAGCCATATGCTTTCTTCTTCACAAAGGTTCTACAAGACACTCTCTAGGATCTAGGTCAAACACTTGGCTGTCCAAAACCATGCAGCAATCTTGCCCAGAAAGTTTCCAAGCAGATATTACTAGTTAAACTCAACACTTACTTCGCCCATTAGACTTCTAACATCAAAGTAGGAGGCAAGGGAAATATAATCCAAATTTAAGAAGTGAATTGAGTAAAAGAAGAATTTAGTGTAAAAGAAAAAACATTCAAGAAGCAAAGGATAACCACGGCTTTGGCATAGCCTTCACCCATTCTGCTAGGACTCTCCTGTTCACTAGCTCCTTCTAACTCTGGAAAAGAATCAGACAGACCCCACTAAAAATCTCAGCTTGCAATACAACCCCAATTCACCCTTTGAATCTATTTCTTCTCTGGATGGAACTTGACCACTATGGAGAAGTTATGCAGAGATATTTACAAGCATATGGAGTGGAAGGTGGATTAAAGTTGCCAATGTATTTTTCAGTCTCCCAGGTATTTAACTTGCTTACCAACCAAAGTTCTTTTAATAGTTTTGTACTAAAAAAGCGTAACTCATCACCAGGGATACATGAACCTTAACCCTCCAGATCTCAGCACAAGTTACAGCGTATGACATTAACGTGCAGCAGAAGGCAGCAGCCGTCCAGGGAAAAGACTTAACGTTCATCAAGTGCTACAGACAGATTCTAGCGAAAGCTGAGGGAGATCTCTTGCCTAAAGCGCCAGCCCAAGCAAGGCAATGCTGTTGCTACAGCAGCACAGGCCCGGTTTTGGATTAGTATGCTAACACACTCTTATTCTGGCATATTAACAACATAATCAGCAAAAGGGAAACAAGGATTAGGAAAAGCTCCTCAGCCAAATCCGAGTAGAACTTTGCAGAACAAAAGAAAGCCGTCTCTCCGGCCCACGGGTTTTTACCCTGGAGAATTCAGAGGACCTGCTGCAAACAACAGCGGCGCTAGAACTTTTGGAAGTGAGGCCACACGACTGTTTCAACGTGTGTGCCGTTCAACAAGCTGCTGTCAACTCCCTATACGCTTCTGGTTGCCAACCCGTGGGGTTACAGGAGTACAGCTACGCAACCTTCTTTACCTTCATAAAGGAGGGGAAAAAAAAAAAAAGCTCCAAAACACATCAGTAAGAGCCATCAAAACGGAATTGAGAGAAGGGACAAAACACCACCTCTTGCGTGCGCTGAGCGCAGCTGCTGGAAATACAGGAACACGGGGGGATTAGAGAAGGATTCAGCAACACCTCTGGATTATTTGCTCTCCTCCTCCTTCTTTCCATGCAGGAAGGAGGCTCTCCGACTGCAGTCGCGACAGCACCAGGCGGACCCCGGCCCTGCCCCTTCCCACGTGCTATCGCGACACCCCGTTAAGGGGTTAAGGGGAAGCGGCAG